AGCTGTACAAACTGTACATTAAGTTTGATTGTAAAGTCGATAAGTGAGGTTAGGTACTTAGGATCAGTGTTTTCAATATTTTAAAGACAATTAATTATAACAGGTTCTACATGTAGTACATCACTGATATTGCACCATAGTAGTTTCTGAACTTTGATATTGTACTGTATTTATTATGGAAATCAAAACAGTTCCTTTTTCACTCTTTTATCAAACAATACAGTGATGATGACGGAGAGAGTTCTAATCTATAGACTTATCTCAAGTCATTTCAAACAAAGGATTGCATTAATAGTGTTTTGTATCGGATTTGATGATAACACTAGTGCTTCAACATCACGGCTCAGTACTTTCATGTGAAGACTAAGTTGGCAAATATATCTGATCGTTAGACCCTCATTTATTCCTAGTCCCAATTTTCTCGGGTTTTTTTTTTTTTTTTTAGTTTTTTTTATATTGGAATTCACCTCGACTTTTTTTCCAAGGAATTTCTCTAGTTCTGTGATATACTAGCGAACCAGATGCTACACACATGATCCATACAATAGGTCTCTCTCTCTCTCTCTCCTACTGTTTTGGTATCAAAACAGTTATTCAAGACATTGCTAACTCAACGCCCACCATGCAGTGAGTGACAGGCGTTTTGCCAATGACTAAATTCTTTTAATCTCGGTAGCTGCGTCACATCAAAGGCTCAACACACACACACACACTATTAACACGCGGTCTTTGGCCCAGAACGCATCAACATTATTCACTGAACTGACTTTGATTTTATACTGATTATGAAGAAAGTGAGCAAGAAAGAAAGCCAAGACTAGCACTACAAGCCGTTTGTTTCCTGTTTCACTGAAAGGAACTTCTTGGACATCGGTATTGAAAGTTAAACGGCCCGTAACATTAAGTATGGCATCTTTGAAATTGATGATCTTGTCTTTGGGACATATACTGCTGTCCCTAACTCAAAGAACTATTGGTAATCAAGGTACGTAAATAAGTACAGAAAGTACAATCTGTTCATCATCTTTATACTTACAAATTGATACCGATACTGAGGTTTACTGAGGACTGGGTTTGTAAATAAAAACATACCGCTCTGTAAACATGCACAGCATGGTGCATTGTATATATGTCAACAATCTAAGTGCAAATTAGTTCCAACTATTGTCCAATTATATGTAAAATGTTTGTGAATTAAACTGATCTACAAATTTGCACCAGATTTACATTACATTTACACATGATTTATAAAGATCATTATAAGTTATTCTTGACATGTTTTTATTCGTAATAAAAAGTCTTGTAGTCTGGAGGATATTTCAGTGTTTTCTGGATATTTTTTCTTTTCAGCCACAATGCTTTTTGTTCTTCTCTTCATCAGAAAAAATCTGTTAACATTTGGTCAGCTACGATTTCAAGCTCACGCTCCCTCATGTGAGCCCATACAAATTATGTCTCAAAAACACTTTTCTCAAAATAATGACTATCTAGGCAAAAAACAGAAGTGGATTCAGTTAATTATTCATGGACTGTATTATATGGTTTAGATTGAATTCTATTGGAAAAAAAACACCGTACTTTTTGAGTTGAATGTACGCTGTTGGATGTATTTTACAAGGGAAAATGCATGACATACCGGAGTCAAGCTAGAAAATCGTCTCTCCTTGAAATAAAACAGAACCTGTCAAAAAAACAGAAGTGGATTTGAAAACCCCGGGCTTTCCCATTTTGGTATATAATTCATAGGAATTTGTTACAATTTAGAACCGTATTTTTGCTGATTTTATAAGCTAATACTATCTGTTGGCCTATACATTCGCCTCTAATGATTTCTTAGGTTTCGTAGCCTCGAAAACACGCTAACTACTTGTTAGCAAAAAAACAAAAGATTTACGGGTCATTTAGGATGTTTTGTCACGCAGTTAACTTGTGCTATATAACTTTACTTTTAAAAACAACTTTTTGCTTTGGAAAGAGAGAAAAAGAAAAGAGCAAATATTCCAAATGTATATGCAATTTTTTTCCAATGTTGGCTACCAAACACTTTTGATGTGCATAAAGTAACGGCTAAAATAAGTGCTACCATGTCATTCCTTTATTTTCACTGATTGAGATAAGGTGGTTCCCTAGGGCACTTCCAGTATTATGCATGATTTAGCTGACTATAAAGGATAATAACTTGAAATTCCTTTTTTCTTATTTGCCTCGAGTCAAGAAAGGGTTTTCATTATAAGATAAGTAATAAAGTTGTTTTAGCCTGGCCTTTTTCTAAAAATAATCGCAATGACTAATGGAGTTTTTAGCGGCAGTAATCAGTTGTAGCTATTGCATGGCTAACCGATGGAATAAGCAATACGAGAAGCCAACATAAAGTAGAAAATGTAATACCAATCTAGTTGTGACCTAGCGAGGTTTAGCAATCAATCAAAAACTGCCACAAAGAGCGACCCTAAACTAGGCCATTGCTGTTTAGTTTTCCCAAAGCAATTCGCTATCGCACAGCAAGTGAGAGAAAGTGCGTCATGTAGATTGATCTTAACGAACGAGCTGTCAGCCAAAGGCTTAAATATATTAATTACTATCCAAAATCAAACTAACGATCTAGAAGGATGACACAGGCCGACGGAATGGGGAAAAGGAACAGCTGTGTTTGAGGAATTTGATGAAATAATCTAAAAAATGGCATCTATAAAGCTATTATTGTCAACCAGCCCTTCATTCCCATTCATTCATCGTCAACAGTTCTTCATTCCCATTCATTCATCGTCAACAGTCCTTCATTCCCATTCATCCATCGTCAACAGTCCTTCATTCCCATTCATCCATCGTCAAC